TTCTCCAATTTAAGTTAATTCTGCATTTAATCAGGACATGGTGAAGATTACCAAGTTCAGCAAGCAGTTGGTCAGTGCCCAAGAAGTTGTATCCATTATGTAACACCTTCACAGCGAACCATTCTGGAGGAATTACTTGACAGGTAGCCACCTATCACATTTGGCATAAGGAAACTTAATTTGGTTAATGCTCTATTAAATTCTTGTTGTGTAGGGACTACCATTAGTTCAGAAGCATCAAAACTAAAAGCTATTAAAACTATGAGGTTCCATTTCTATTTTTTTTCTTAATTATCATGTTAATTGCATTTGTTATGTATGCTCAGTTTCTCTTCTTTTTTCATTTTTTTGGTCAACTACTCCATTTGTTGTAAAGCAACAGGTTAGAGCATCATAAATTAAGTAGTTCTAATCCAAGGAGTTATGGCTTAGTTGGCAAGGGGTTTGCTCCCACCTTGTTCACCAAGGTTTGATTTCTGGAGGGGCCAATGAGGAAATAATTTCTCATGAATTATTTAGTCCTAGACTGGGGAGGGATTAGTTTGGAAGTGCGCTTAAGCTAGCCCAGGGTCACCCAGGCTGCTAAACTAAAAAAAATTAAGTAGTTCTAAATCCTACTACTTTAAGCTACTTCCATCCTGGAATTTTTATATATATATATAAATATATATATAATTAGTGCTTATCCGCCTTACCTCCAAAAAATTAGGAGGAAAAAAGACAAAAATCACCTTAATGCATGCTTTAAAAATATGGTAATTTAGTCTTTTTCAATAAAAATTTATTGAAATGACATAGTTTTGAGATGATTTTCCTCCTAATCTTTAGGAGGTAAGGCTGATAGGCATTATTTCCATGTGTATATATATATATATATATATATATATATTGAAAGTTGGGTTAATTGTGAAGGGGTAAGGGGAGGAACTCTCAAAGGGACGATAGAATCCTGGTGTGGTTATTCAAGTGGACTACCTATTAGGTAACAAAAAGGGCTAATAACTTAGGGCCTAATGCCTAGGTCTTCAATTCTGGGATTTGAAGAATTGAATAGACCATTCTATTGCTGCTAGACACAATTATGTTTTAATGTTATTAAAAAGATGTTAATCTTACTGAAATTTTATGAAAATGGTTTGTTTTGATTTTGAAGCATTCTGGCTGTGCCGTATGATAATTCAGCAGAGGCTGAATTGCTATATTCTCTCATCGTTAAAGCAAAGTTTGAGAACAATCGGTACCAGAAGCCAAAGAAGCAACCAAAATCTTCTTCTCAATGTGTTGACTGGTTTTGATTTCTGATTTTCTAGCATACGGTGCACTCAGACCTAAACCCAAAATGTAGCTGACAAGACTTCTGTCCGTTAATGAAGAAAAGAAAATATATCTCTTACCAGAGAGACTGTATGACGATGGAGCTGATTTTCACATTAGTGAAGCTTCGGATGAAATGAAGCTTAACAGAAGACTGTATGACGATGGAATGAATGTATCAGAGGCTAGGATGCTCTGGTTGCAGGAGAAGAAAAGTGCATTACTCTAAAGAGCCACGGAGATATTGGCTTTTATTTGACAACTATATAAAATGCTACTTTATTCCTTAATTAAGGTATGTATTTAACAAATTATAGGGTGAAGGACTTCAAAAAAAAAAAAAAAATTGCATGAGGTGAAAATACCAAAAATGATAATAATAGATAATAGATGAAAGTGGTAGATCAACAGGTTGTAAATGACATGTATTATATTCTGCCAACATTTTAATTTTAAAAATAATGATGTATTATAAATCAAATTTATGGTGGATGTTTAATCTTCCACCTTTTATCTTCCTTGTCTTTGTCACTTCTTCTATCAATAACAATGGTGATTAAATGCCGGCCTGTGACTCCCCTACTTTATGGCTTACTGAATGAATAATATTTTCTGGATTATTAATCTTTATAACATCTATATATAGGATGTGCATTCTTGCTGTGGCTACAATGGACTATTCTTTTTCCATATCTCAGCTCTTTGAATTTCCAGGCCATCAAAATTAAATAAATGAATTATTTGATGGGAGAGTTGTCCATGTCAGTTAAAATGAAGAACAAAATTGCTAAAAAAAATCAAGTTTAAGGATTATTTTGGTTTTTTTTTTTAACTTTAAAGACATTTTTGGTACAAATTTAAAAGTTAAGGGACTAAATTAGTATTTTAAACTTTTTACAAAGCTCATTTTTGGAAAATGTGTGATGTAGAGAATGTTTAGTAGGTCCCTTTGACAAGCCACACTGCACAAAATCCTTTGTGTTGGCAATGGCAGGGGTACTAATGAGTTCAGCAGTTTACTGCTCCCTTGAACTTTATCATGAAGTTTCTCGTTTTCATGTCACTACATCTCTTTATCATTTGGCTTAATGCAGAAACAGATATTTTATAGCGAAGGAGCTTCAACCCGTTTTCTGTATTTTGTTGATCTGTAAAAGGTACTAAAACAATGTGCTTGCATCTCTTAGATCTACTTCAATCCTGGAAATTTTGTTTTTTCCATTTTGAAATTGGGTAATTGTTTAGAGGTGAATGGGAGAAGTGTAGAAAGCCTGGTTATTCAGGTGGACTAATCATTACTTAACCAACAGGGCTAAGGGCTAGGGTCTTCAGTTCTGGGATTTGAAGAACTGAATGATCATTTTCTTGCTGCTGGACACAGTTATCTTTTAATGTTATTAAACCATATTCTTACTGACATTTTATGCAAACTGTTTGTTTTGATTTGAAGCATATTGAACATGCCTTACAATAATTCAGCAGTGGCAGAACTGATATATTTTCTCATTCTTGAAGCAAAGTTTGAGAATAATCAGTGCCAGAAGCCCAAAGAAGCAAGCAAAAACTTCCTCCCAACATGTTGACTGGTTTCAATCAATGCATTTCATCTTAGTAGTCATTTGTTTCCCTCTTTCTTGCATGGAAAGGATGTTTAAATAGAAAAAATGTTGTTTTGATTAGTGATATTAAACCTTAAACACTGTAGAATCACTATTAATGTCTAAAATCCTTCTTTTTAGGTTTAGAAGCTTCCTTGACCCTAAATAACTCCTCATCTTCCTTGAAAGCTAACTCTTGGGCACCTAATTGCTACTTGATGAGCTGCAAATTGCCACTTCCTTGCAGATCTTCATCAATGTACTTCCACCCTCCAACGGGATTACTAAGTGCTATCCTCCTTGAAGATGCAATGGAATTGCATTCCTTAGGCATTAGAACATGTACAAAGGTAGCAATCAAAAAGCTCATTTTGGTACCACATTATCACAATTAATAATATTTTATATAAATTTGTATTTTAAATATTTAACTCTAAAATATAACACCTAATAAAACACATTTTCTCTAATTTATTTATCAAAATAAAACTTTCTCAAAAGTCATATCAATATTATTTTATGTAATTCCATTAAATAAAAATTAAAAAAAAAAAATGGGGCAGGCGATAGATCATTTGATTAAACAACGTGAATGGGACATGCAACTTTTTAAGAACTTGTTTTAAAATGGTAAGGAAAGAAAACAAGTATTATATAGAGAATAAAAACCTCTTTTAAAACATATTTCAATAGGTAAAAGTTCTATCTCTATTTTATTTTTAAAAAGAAAAATGGAAGAGAACTTCCATTATACATGCTCTAAAGTTTAATCTCTCTTTTTGAAAGTAGTCTTCGAATCCTTAGCATAATTACCAAGGACAAATAACAAACGCTGTTGACCACTTAAATGCATACAAGTACTATATAGCCTGTTTCTCTATGAATCTGCAGATTCAATTTCCATACACGATAACATTGTCGTGGGGGCATAGCTTGTAATTTGGCTAAAGAAAGAATTCAAGATCTACTTACATGTAAGGTATGTACAAGGCCAACTCCAGGAAATATATTGGTATATAAAACCCTTGCGAAACAAAGCAGAAATCAAAACACTATCAGCTTCTTCCAATGTTTAAACGTAAGAAACACCCTTTAAAGAACATTTGCATTTGTATATATTCCAATTACAATTACAAGGATAACAATAAGTAAAAAGAGAAAAACCAAAGAATTTTACTGTTGTGTTCAAGTATTTGAACATTTAGATTCTGCTGCAAACTTGCAAACATGTTATTTTTTATTGCATGTCAGTTGACGGCTGAGATGGAATTAGTGATGGCCTCCTGTAATTTGTCATCGCTTTGAACTTGAGTGGACTCCACACCAATGTTTTCCTCTGCAATGCAACCACTGTTGGATGCTTTGGCTTCCAAGAACCTGGCTGTATTGGAGGACTCCCCATGAATTTACTGCTGCTCCTCATTACAGTTGGTGTTGTCTCTGATGTGTTCTTCAGCTCTGGCAAAGGTGAGAACAAACTTGAATACCGTGCCTTCCTCTGGCCCCGCACAAATGATGGCCTTGGAATTGCACTGCCATTTTTGAAATGGGAAGAGGAGGTGTGGAGTGGTGTTGTCATCTGTAAACTCGGCTCTGGCCGGAGGGTAGCAATGGATACACGTCTCTTAGGCTTGAGGAACTCTGCTGTTGTTGGAGGTGCTCTGACAGCAACAGACATGCGTCTTGGTTGCAAAAATGCTTTTTGGTTAGGTGCTGCCTTCATGGTTCTTAAAGTGTTGTTCTCTTTACCCTTCGTTGATGCCATCATAAAAGCTTTTGTAGAGACAGATTTCTGTGGCAGGGTAGGAGATGGTACGGGCATTACATTTGTGATTCTTCTCAATGGAAGCCTCAGTTTTGAAGGACCCAATGGTGGTTTTCTCTCTGTTTTGGGCTTCTCTACTGCTTGTTTTAGAGATGATGACTGAATAGAAAGAGAAGCAAATGCTCGTGTTTCCTGCTTTAATCTGATTTTCCTTTCCTCTGCTAGTTGACTCTCAAGGTCACGAACCTGTTTATCATTGATTAAGATGTAAGGTAGCTCAGTAGGGCAGATATCACAAGACATTGGTTCTTCATTCTTCATTAGTACCAGAACAATCCAAGTCAAAGAGCCTTAACTAGGCTAACAACATGACCGTTTTGAAAATTTCCGTGACTTACTATTCTTGTCCTAAAATCCTAATGATTCAACTAACAAAGCTAAAAGTTATCCATACCTACCTTTTCTTGGAGATTTCGGCATATGTGTTCTCTGGCAGCAAGTCTTAACTGCAAGGACTGCAAATTATCTTGCAGCTTCTTTGTTTCTTTCTCATCATGCTTCAGCTTTTCTGCCTGTCAATCCACAAAAGTCGGACGTGCAGCAATTTCAAACAATGCCAAAAATGTAAACAAATAAATAAGTTTCACCAAGCTTCAGATTTTCATACCATTTGCTTGTATTTCAAAATCTCAATAGGGTCAGCCTGTTTGCGAGCAGGACCACTTTCAATTCCTCGGACCCTGCTGGCAAAGTTTAGAGAGCAGAGAGTCTCTCCCAAGTCTGCAGTACTAGGGCTGATCTGAACAAACATCAGAGTTTTGCAATCTCCTCCTGCATTTTTTTTTTGTTCCCGTAAGCATCAATTGTTGAAAACCAAAGTAACAACAAGCATCCCTTTATTAAATGAACATTAAATCATCTACATGCACTCAGTGAGACTAGAATAATTAAGTCCCATATGTTTTGCAGGAACAAAGAATTACCGAGAGAGCTTTGCAGCATATGCGTGACCTTTGAGTTCCTGGTTTCAAAAAAGCAAGGAGAAAAAAAAAAAAGCAAAAATGAGTGAACACAAGAATAATTGTTTGCCTGCGCCACATATGTGTATGAGTGATGGAGGGAGAGAGAGAGAGACCTATATGGAATGTGGCCTGTCTTAGATGCCAGAGCAGATACCACATCACCAAGTGCTGAGAGGGATTTATTAATGAACTGAGATTCCTTCAGCCTTTCACCTTCAACTTCAATCTTTCCAACACGCTCACTACCAGCTAAATCTACAAGCCAAAGGTGACTTTTTGTCTTCTGCCCATTAATCAAATTCTCCCCCTTTACAGTCACACGCAATAAGCTACACAAGAACAGCCTCTTTAGAGTTACTATCAGAAAATACGGATGCCCTGGAGAAACCAGTTTTCTCATCATAGAAATCTTATTTATCTTCTGTGATTTCCACGTTAGTTATCTAACAAGAATTACCTCAATTTAGAAAAAAACATGGAACTGGAATTAAAAGATTGAAAACTTACCAGTGGGAGCGGCTGCTAAGTTCATTTGCATTGGTAGATCCAACAGATCTGACTCGGCTTCCAGACTTGAGTAGCTCCCACACTTCTTCTGTACCATGAACATGAGCTTCTATGAGTCCTGGGACTTCTTGCATCCCATCTGCCGCTTGCTTTATCTCCAGCCTTCATCCATGTAAAAATGAATATCAACTAGAGTCTCTAGTAAACTTTATTATCCAATGATTTAAGTTGCAACAGCAACCAATGGTTTAAAAAAGTCAAATTTGTTTTCTGACATTTAGCCATAGCCCAATTGAAATAAATCCTTTTCCAGGTGCCTTCTGCATCTATAACTGAATCTAATAATGGTTCATTTTGTAACCAGATCTCCTCCAAACATTGCAATAATTTTGGTAAACACAGTTAGAATTCTTCATCTAACTGCAAGAAGGTGCATCCGCAGGTGCCTCAGCGGGTTATCAAATGACAACAGCCACTAAAGAAATTAAAGCCAGGGAAATTTACCTCTTGGAAGGTTGGTTGGAGTTTTCTGCTAAGAGGTCCCGTATCTTCTCATTGTAAACTTCCAACATGCTAACATAGAGCTCGTAATTCATGATCTTGCTTCTTTCTCTTGAAATCCTAAATAACTCCTCTAAAGTCCTATAGTTCACTCCCCTATTTTCAGGTGTTCCCTCCATTGTAAAGGTCTTCCCGGTTCCAGTTTGCCCATATGCAAATATGCAGACATTATAGCCATCCAACACAGAAGTGACAACAGGTTTAGTTTGTGCGAAAACATCCTCTGCATATTTTAAAACACAGGATTAGAACCATAGAAAGAAGCATATTTTATCAGCAAATTTTTACAGTTCCAAATCAGTTACAAGATATCATTTTACCTTGGCTATTCTGTGGCCCAAAAACATGGTCAAACTTGAATTGCTTCTTGGATGAATCTGAGGAGATAATATGCATCTCATTCTCCTGGGACGAGTCAAATTCGACCACAGAAGTGCAGCCATTCGCAACCTCAACTTGGTTTAGGGGTCTGCATCTCAAGAAAACCCTTATATTCCCTTTGAGTTCTATCACTTCGTTGTAGAGACGTTTCCGTTCCGAGTACTCTTCTAGGTACTTAGTCTTTAAAAGTCCATACTGATTATCTATCATCCAAAAACATCATAGTAAGAGGAAAAAAAAGGGAAAAACAAAATGCAGAAAAAAATTGATCAAAAATAGAAATTGGTTAACAAACTCAACACTCACTGAGGTGCTTAAGGATGCCTAAAACTTCGGGACTGAGAAAGGAATCTGAGTTCATGTCCTTTACTTGATCAGATAGAACTCTATGCTCTTTTTTCAAATACTGTAACGGCAAAAAATTAGAAGTCAATGAAATAAAATAAGCAGAAAAATGGTTAAAACAGTATGGAAAGTATTCGAAATATTGTGATATGACATCAAGGAAGGAAAAACCCTCTACTTAAAACGAATAGAACCCATTTGACATAATGGGTGTGTCAATGGTCATTTGGCAGCCAAAATCAACAAAAAAAGTATTGGCTACAATCATCTTTCTGACTTTCAGAAAAAAAGAGAAAAGAAAAATGAAATTAAGAAATTAGATATTCCAAGAAATTACCTCAATATTACTGCTCAAATCCATAATTTTCTGCAATATTGGAAGCGTTCGCTCCTGACCCAGAGAAGTTTCTTGGTCTGTGTTGTTGGATACAATATCCCCATCCACGGAATTGCCAGTTTCTTCAATTATTAGACCTGGAACAAAGTTCAAAAACAAAAAATCCTTCAATCAACTTTCTTATTTTACAAACCCTATTACAATAGAGGGTTAAATGCTCCTTCAGACACTCATTACAATTTTTGTTAAAAATAACGTTTTCAATCCTCCTTAAATGCTCCATCAGACACTTTCATTACAATTTTTGTTGAAAATAATGTTTTCAATCCTCAATCCGTTTGACTTCGTAGGCCAAGAAATTTCTTGTTCGAAACATGAAATTAAGCAAGAATTTCTGCGCTTAGTGCTCTTGGATGAAATTAAAACAGAAATACTTTAGAATAAACCAAGTATGCACAAGACTGAACAAACCACAATATGAACTCTACCTTTGGAGAAAAAATTCCAAAAAGAAAACAGAATGAAAGAAAATTTATCACTCTTTAGCATCTTCTAGGGTTTATGACAGGAAACCAAACTAGGAAGCCCAGATCTTTCATTTCTTCTCCAATGTACAGTAAAATCGAAGCCAAGAACTAAATTCACAAGGTCCAATCCTTCCATTGAAATCTTACCCTACTTTCTTGGAGTAAAGAAACGAAAGTTATTACTCACTAACCTGAGTCGGAACTCAGAGTAGGCTTTGAATCACAATCAAGAAGAACGGCGCTGTTATCCTCCGGCGTCATATCCATGGCTTGATCTGAGAAAAACCACCGGTTTTTCCATGAAAATCTGACAATTCGAACAACGTAATTGAAAATTAACAGCAAATCGGAAATTCAAAGAGAGAGTACCGTTCGTGGCCTCGAAATTCAGAAGCATTTTACAATCTGCAAAGGAAATTGTGAGATTTGGAGATGCAGAAACCTAAAGGAGGAGAGGATTTGAGAGCTGGAGAAGCGAGAGTTGTATACGGTGAATGAAACGTAGGGTTTTTGTTTAGAATCAAATTTGAATTGAAATGAATCTGAGCCGTTAGATTGTGAGTAGTGTATAACGGCTATATATGTTGGTATTTAGAATATACTCATGGAGCGTGAATTCGGGTATTAAGATGGACTCGGGTTCTGCCCGGAAACAAGTACTTGTCCATAAGATTACGCAGTTAAGTCCCTAAATTGACATCGTATTTTTAATTGAGTTTGTTGATTTTTTTTTTTAAACAGATAAACTCTTGAATCTCAAAATTTGTGCAATCATTCCCTCTTTTATGTATTTATGTATCTATAACTTTACAGCAGATTATTAAGAAGAGGGTAAAATAGAATAAATCGTAGGGTTTATAATAAGCTTATATGCTTTAAAACAAAGAGTCCAAAACTTAATTTAGAATATGGGGTTAATTTAAGGATTTAACATGAGGTTTTGCCTTTATATTACAAACTAGGAGCATAAATTGAGCTTTGCAGGCCAACTATTTGTTAAGAAAAACTATATTTTAAGTAGTTGTGATTTACAATTAGTGCAAAATAAGATCAAATATTTTAAAATATACATATAACATGCTTGTGATTTGAAATTTAAGATAGATGTATATAAAAACCTAAGATTTCAAGATGTGCAAATAAAGATATAAGATTTGTATTAGGTTCACATAACCATTTGAGTAGAGATAGCAACAGGGTCTCGCGAGGTTAAGGAGTCCCTCCTCGTCCTTGTCCCCACGAATGACGAGGATGAGATTCCCCGTGGGGATTTTTGATAGAGAATAGATTTTGCCCCCCATCCACATTCTTCATTCCTCGTCAATTTATATCAAAATATAAATTTTTTACATATAATTAACAATATTCAATTATAATGAACAAAATTCTAAAAGTTCAAATACAATTAACTAAAATTCTCTAAATATAAAATCAAATATAAATTATCTAAATATAAATAAAGATCAATTCAACATAAATAAATAAACCAAAAGACTTGTTCTAAACATAAATAAAGATCAATCTAACATAATTAACTAAACCAACATACTTGAGTTAAGTTTAATTTTTATTAAATTAGGTTTGGATTTGAAATGTATTTATGTATTACTATAATGGGTTGAATTATTTTTAAAATAAAATTAATTTATATATTTTTTAATTTTTTGTGGGGATAAGGATCCTTGTGGAGCAAGGAAAATTTCTCGTGTAATTTTGTGAGGGAAAAAATGCCCCTCATCCTCGCCCTTCAAGGAAAAATATTCTTTTCCGCCCCATCCCCTTAGCGGGGATCCCATGGGGACTGGGACAAAATTGCCACCCCTACATATGAGGTTATATGAAATGTCCTAAATAACTTTTTTTTTTCTTGTCATTGTTCTAAGTTAGGGGCATTTAAGAAATTTAAGAAATTTCAAGTGGTTATTTGCACTTAATGCAAATCTCGGATGTTTATGCATGTATTTTGATACATTGGATCTTTATCTACACATACCAAAACAACAGATATATTATGTCCATATTTTAAAATGTCAAAGTTTTAATGTATACTTTTCTCAAAGGACCGTGATAGGTGCACACCCGGATTCAACACCCGGGTGTGCACACTCCACACAACCAAAGATAACCAAAAATTTTAAAAGTGTAATTACAAATTTAACTTTAACTCCTTCTCTCTCGATTCTTTCCCTTTCTGCAAATCTGCACCTTGTTTCCATTCTCCGATCTGGTTCTTGGAAGAAAATTCTTCATCCACAGGGATCTTTCCTTCAAAAATGGAATAAAATATTTCTCCTAGCCTGTATAATCGCTTTGGCACTGAACGCACTTTTCTTCTACATCCCAGTGGTTGTGAATAACGAAACCCAAAAATGCCTCACCATGGATAAAACACTTGAAATCCCTTTTTTTTTTGTTTTGTTTTGCTGGAGAACCCGATCTGGGTTCTTCTCGAAGAACCTAGGTCTGGGTTCTCTCGAGAGAACCCGGGAGAGAAAAGAAAAGAAAAAAAAAAAGGAACAAGGTGAGAACCTGGGAAAGGGAGAGGTTGGGTGAGTCTGGGTTCTCCCCACCTTTGGGTTCTCAGAAAACCAGATTGGGTTCTGCTTGGGAGAAAAAATGAAAAAAAGAAAAAAAAAAGAGAAAGAAAGTGGAAAGGGTAAGTTTGTAATTACACTTTTGAAATGTTTTGGTTATTTTTGGTTACCTAGAGTGTGCACACCCGGGTGTTGAATCCGGGTGTGCACACATCATTTTCCTTTCTCAAATCACAAGTTAAAATAAGGAACAAGGTTTCTTTTGCAAGCCAAGTCCAAACTACTAACAAAGGCCATCAGATGAGTAACTAACTAGAGATCCCCATTTATTAGATGGTGTTTCACAGTCTAATATACTCTGAACTGCTAAATATTTTGTTTCATATGTCAAACACATTTTTTGTTACATTTTAGTGTTATCCTTTTTTATTTTTTCCTTTAATTTCTAGTCGCACAACATATACGTTGATTTGAAGAATAAAAGATTGACCAATTACACATTTAATTATGATCAGATGCGCGTTATTGAATTATTATTATTATTATTTGTGAAAATGCTCAATATTGACAAGGTGTATAAACCATTGGCCAGCTTTTGTGGATGTTATGAAGCTTGTGAGTAAGAAGTGTTTTTGATTGGAATTCAAAAAGCTTGTATTTTATATAAACAACTTAGTAATTAAGTAATAGTAATTTTTGTTTTCTACTCTTTCTATCTCAAAAAATATAAGGTTTTTTTTTTTACCTATTTAAGTAATATTTTTTTTATAATATATAAATAATAATTAAAAAAATTTTAACAGAAATTATTCAATAAGAATTATGTATTGAAAAAAAATCTCAATTATTATTCTATATTATAAAAAAGTATTACATATAATTATATATAAAAATAAAATATAATTTATATTTTAAAATAAATAAAGTATAAATTTGAATTGTATAACATATAAGTAGTGTAAAAAAAAATTACCTTAATTACCTAACTAAACACTAAATAAAAGTTTGTCTCTTTCTCTTTTGAAAAATGCACAACATTACATTTCCTTAAAATTAAAAAAATTAAAAAATAAAAAAATATTGGAACATGCACCTGGCCCTTCAAATTTAGTAATATTAATAATATTAAATAAATGCATTCTCTTTTTTTTTAAGCAAGTTTGATCTCATCCCATGTCTAATTGTTTAAAAAAAAAATATTAAAATATAAGATATAATTAGAAATCTTTCAATATTTACCTCGACTAATAACGGCATACATAGTATCGAGAATCTCGACACCTTACATAACACAACCTAAAGAAATTTAAATTTTCATGGATGCTTCTTGAAGGTTTTGATTTATTTAGAAAAAAAAACTAAAATAAAAAATAAATCCGTATCATGCACTTTGAAGAGTCCATTTTTTTTTTCTTAATTTAGTTAAAAAATGAAAGTAGCCGTTCGCGTGCGTTTGCGACCGTTGAAACACGAAGAGCCGTTACCAAAGTTCCCTCGGATTTGCTTTCGCTTTTCCATTCCGCCAATAAACTAGGAGGAGAGAGAGTCTGTGCGTTAAACTACGAATTTTAGAGAGAAAAACTGTAACTGAAACAAAACCCAGATTTACCACTCGCCGCTCCACATGGGTATTTAGAGACAGAAAGAGAAACAGTGGGAAGGAGCGGACGAGCCTCGACTTCTCTGAGACCCACATCTTGCTTTCCTTCCAGTTTCTTTTCTTCCCAATTATGGTCGCAAGAACCCCACCAAAGCAAAGGAGATTGGTGGCTCCTCTCAATCCTGTTTTACTCAGAGAAACCCTTAAGAAGGTGAAGTAATTTTTTTTTTTTCTTTTTTCGTTTTTAACTCAGTATTTGTAGTATATATTATATCATTTTCCTTCGTTTTCTCAGCAACCAAGCAAAAAATGTCTCTTTCTTTTTCTCTAGACTGATGGGTGTTTTCTTGGGTTTGTGAAGGTGGATAAATGTATGGCAAGATTGCAAGAGCTACAATATACAGTAGCAGGAGGGGCAAAGGTGATATCTGGGGTGAGTCTCAGTCCAAGGAGTACTAGAGGTTACTTAAAGACCAGCCTAAGGTGCAAGCAAGAATCTATGAGGTCTGATTAAAAAGAAAAAAATCTGAGCTCTGTTTTTGCTGCTTCTGATTGTCTGTTCTGCATACAAAAATGGGTTCTAATTTATTTCCTTTGGTGTTTTGAAGGATCAAGAATTCTGCAGATAGGAAGTCTCCAGTTGGGAAGTTTCCATCAAGTACCGGAGGTCTCTTTCTTTATCATTCTGTTCAGGAATTTAAGAAAAGAAAAGGAAAGAAACCTTACTTTTGAATTTTACTTTGGCAGGGGAATGGAAGAGAATGTCTTTACCGGCAATGTTGGTATGCGAAACAGTGGGGGAAATTCTTCAGGCAAGTCAATTTGCAAAGGATATAGTAGCAGGAGTTGCTAATAGAACCAAGAAAACAACTCTGGAGGATCCAAAAACACCGGTGACAGAACAGAGAAAACAGACGCCAGAGCTGGAGAACACAGGGCTGAGAGGCAGAAGAAGAAAGGAGAAGCAAAACAAACTAGAATCAACCCGATTAGAATCTGATTCCCCATGCCCTCAACGGGCTCGTTCTCGGATCAATTTCAAGGTTTCTCCTTTGAAAATAAGAGAACTTGAGAAAGAAAATAAACAGTTTTTGGCAAACAGGGTTTCACCCAGGAACAAGCCATGGGCTAAGAAGACTGTTCTGTTCCCAAATCCCCTGTTTCATTCAGCAAAATCTACAGAGCAACCGAGGTTTTGCAAGACAAGGTCTCCAGTTATTGCAAGGAATAGAGAAACCCCACATAAGTTCCTGATCAAGTCTCCTCAGTCAGCTTCGAAGTTTCAAGTGAAGATAAAGAGTCCACCAGTTGTCTCTATTTCGCCTACAAGACCAACTAACTCAAGTAAGAAATCACCAAAGTTGTCTGCTGCTTCAAAGTTTCGAAGATCATTCTCACCTTCGCGACTAGCGAATAGATTGGTATCTCCATTGAAGAGTAGAAGAAAGAGCTTAGACAAATGTGGACCTTTAAGTGGATTGAAGCAGCGCCCAGTGGCAATGCCTATGCGATTCTCAACAGGGAGAAAGCAGGGCCTATGAATTTTCCTTGTTCTTCGGAATGACTTTCAAATAGAGCCGTTGAGGATAATTTTTCAGTGTCCATAATTTTCTTTGCTCCTCGAATTACTTTCTGTAGACACCTCCCCCCATACCGTCTTTCATACTGGATTGCCTATAAAAACACAAGTGTTCTCCTGAAATACCAGAAGCTCCTTGCTCTTTGCAGGATCTTTCATGTTTGAACAGATTGCTCTGATTTAATAGATTTTTTTTTTCTAGATACCTGCTCTTTTATTGAATATCTTAGTCATGGATCCTCCTGTTTCCTCATCTTCTTTTTTGTTTTTGTCTTTATGTACAGAAGCTTTATTGTAATTCCTGTTGAGATTGCAAAACAATTTCTCTGATTATACCTCAAAGAAAAGGACCAATTACCATGGTCCAGGATACAATTTGGATAGAGTCATTTTCATTACAGAAGTAAACATCATATGCACCAGAAACAAACAGGAGAAACCCCTTCCAAAACCCCTGCAACCCCCCAAAAGGAAAAAAAGGAAAAGGTTAATATGAAAAAAAGACAAGCCTCTATTATCTCTTCAATCACCCTTTCTCTTCGGAATACACATCAGCTTAGCCTGTAGAAGAAGGCAACATTTTCTCTAGGCTGAACAATGAGAAATTGCATAGAATGTGTTTGATGTCATCCCATTGTATGACTCCTGGGGGAAAAAGTATCACTTCTTTAATGAAACAGAAACACCCTGGCATTCACTCATTTGCCTGGAGATGCAAACCTTGTTCTTTCTCTCTGCCGATTCAGGGCTCGATCCTTTGGAGATGATGTTTTTCCACCCACACCTGCCTGCCGCATCATCTCTGCAAACAGAGGTTCAACCGTTATGCAGTAAATAACATAAATTTGAAAGCAGGTAAAAGTCACACCCTTTCTCAAAGCAAATGTACTTCCTGGAGATATGATGAATTCATGAAATTTTACCAACTTAATTTCTTCTAGAATCTTGTAGCAACACAATTGCAAGACTTAAACTACAGATCAATTAATTCGGATGCGCTGACAATTAATTCGGATGCGCTGACATACCAGATCAGTCAATCTACATCTAGAATTAAATTAAGATGAGTCTATTAATCCATCCAGAAATTGGCCCAAAAAAAAAAAAAAATCCATGCAGAAGGCAGGGTTTCTTGAAAAATGTAGGGGAACAAAAGGAGTGGAATGAGGTGGATGGGGCAGACAAGCAAAAAATATTTACCTCGTTTTCTCTCAAGCTCTTGATCAAGCTCTTCTTTCCACTTCCTTTGTCTCTCAGAAAAGCCCAAGCTGTGAGTAGCAAACTCTTACACTTCAGCTTACCTTATAGAAAGTATAAGGGCATGCAAAGAAAAAGAAATCAATTAATTGTATAAACCTTGGGCTTGATTCCTGGTGGGCATCAACTGGAAGTCCTTTCCAATCACTACACTGGGGTGATGAGTTTTCCTGTGGTATCTGATCAGTAGCATTGCCAACAATAGAAACACCCCTGTTATTACTCCCTGGACTTCCAGTACTGACAGCATCAACCATTGCCAATGGGCTTCCAGTGTGAACACGACTTGGTGACTTGCTTTTGGGAGGTAACTTCAAGTAATTCAGAGGACTCTCGTCTCGTGTATTCTCAACAACACTTGGGGAGCAAGCTGCATTCAGACTGTTGTAGAACTCTTCATAAAGAGGCGTTTGCAATTTCTTTAGTTCTAAAGCCTGGACATTGAATCCACTTAGATCTCAGAAAAATCTAACATGAAGCCAAATTTCAAACATAGCTGCAGAAAGATTGCTAAAAGTACCCCTACCTTCTCATCTAGAAATGCTTTAATTTTTGATTCAGTAAGTACATCATCATCTTCAGAAAGAGATTGTCCACAAGGAAAGAGAAACTCCTTCTCCCCCTCACCACAGGCACTGCTACAACTAGCAGTCTTATGTGATATTCCTTCTTTGTTGCATTCAGGACTTCCACCAGATTTCCTCCAATCATTAGAAAGCTTGCAAGCAGGGAGAGAACTCTAATTGAAATTTGAAACAGGTTATAAAGATTATTAGCAGGTGAAGCTCTTAGATAATATATATACATCTGAATTGCCAGGAAACCTATTGGAGAAATTACTCACCTTATTAATATTATCAAACATTATAGGAGAGCTGATTTTTTCTTCAATTGCTGTATAATAATCCTTATCAATCACACATGTATCATCATCATCACTGTTATTTGTTCTCCACATATCTTTACTCTCTGATATTTTCTTCACATATGAAGTTGAATCATTGAAGCTACCCAAATTACAGATAGATGTTGATTCAGGGCAGATAGATGCTTGACTAGAAAGAAAATACCTAGTATTAGTAAAGATCCTTTTCAAGCATTGCACCAAAAACTTTACTACCTCCTATCTAAATTAGTTTTCCACTTTGACTTTTGCACATGATTTTAGGTAATGCTTTTCTATATAGCATATAAATGGAAATTGAGAAAAAAAAAATTAATAAGTGACTCATCAAGAACTACATAGTACATAGAGAAAAAATATTTTTCAATTGTCATTCATATGCCATATAAAAGCATCATCTAAAATTGAGTGCAAAAGTCAAAGTGAAGAAACAGAACAAGTAGAACTCACAGGTCTCCCTGATTTGTGGCATGTGATGGAGAAGGAATTTCAGAACATTCCTGATGAAACAGAAAATTTTTTTTTTCCATTACAAAGATATAAAGGGAAAACTGTTCAAGTATTATATAAAATCCAGTTCAAATGCGCTAACCACAACTCTACTGCAAACAACAGGTCTGGATTCCTCATGTTCCCCAGCAACAAAAGGATGCTGCACGAAATTAACAAAAATAGAATACTAAGCATTGTTAAAACCAATGCAAATCAGTGAACTGAGGTTTTTTTGGCAGTGATTCATATTTCACTAAGCCTAGAATGGAAAAAAAGAAAAAAAGAAAAGGTTGTTACAGTGACTGCAGCATATAATATCCAGTTAAAAAAGTAAAATGTGTATTTAATTTAGAATTACCTTAAGCAATTCAGCTGCTGATGGCCTCAAATTTGGCTCCCTGACAATGCCAAAACCAAATTCAGAAAGAAGAAAGGTAAGGGATAATAGGAATAAAAGAAAATCATAATTGACAAGACATGTCACTTATCCAAGCTAAAGGTCAATTTTTATATTTTCTCCAAGGTTTCTGACTGCAAAATAAATGTCAGACTAAAACCATGAAACACAAAAAAACAAACACACACACACACACAGAGAGAAAGAGATAGAAAGTTGGTGAGGATAATATACTTTTGCAAACATTTCAGGAGGAAATCTTTTGCCTCAGCAGAAAGATGCTCTGGAATTGGAGGATGAGACTTTGTTGTTCCTATATAGAACAAAGCAGCCACCTGGAGGATTGTTTTGTAAGAAAGAAGTTACTGTTGGAAGATTAAAAGAAAAAAAAGAGAATATTTAGAGTTATAATAAGGAGTCACTCACCTCTTGGTACTGTTGGCTCCAAGGAGGCTTTCCAGTGGCCATCTCAATTATCGTACAGCCAACACTCCACATATCAGCAGAACTGGAGAATCATATCCATTAAGGTACTGGTAAGATTCACTTTATGAATTAAACTATTAATAACTCAATTGAACAGGCAATGTTTATCATCCATGGAGATCACTACAAATGAAGCAGTTATTATCCATTAGAAATTGAATGAAAATGCCAAAGTAATCAAATATTAAAAGAAAAGTCAAGAGTTACAAGGTATGGCCAGTCTGCAAGATAACTTCAGGAGCCATCCAGTATGGAGTACCCTTCATGGACTTGGCACCTGAAATAGTAGCCTACAATAATAATAATATCACAGTTAAGAGTAAACAAAGTCCTAGTAAGACAGGCAATTACAAAACTTAGAGAAGTTATTAATCCAATAAAAAGTTGGGCAGGTAGAAATTACCAGCTCAGCAACCTGTTTGGATGCACCAAAATCTGCAAGTTTTATGCATCCTTTATTATCTACCAGAATATTTGCCCCCTGGAAATGGATGCATAGGATATATTATCATCCAGAGAGTTGGAGATCAAAGACCTTTATCCATATGTAGTATCCATGCAAGAGCAAAAAGCAGTACCTTAATGTCTCGATGAATAATTCCATGGTTGTGTAAATACTCTAGTCCCAGTAATAACTGCTTTGTGTATGTTCTTATAACCTGTTTGAAAAATTAGTATGCAAAATTAGTGAATTAGACAAAATAAACTGACAAAGATGGCAAGACTTACAGATTCTGGGAATGGTCCAAATTTTCCTAAAAGTGAAGATATTGATCCACCAGGGACAAATTCAAGCAGAATATTCAAGGTTTCATCCTCTCTGACTGTACCCAAATATCTCTGAAGATACAAACAATGTACACAATCAAAAATGTTGCAGGCATAATTAATTCAACAGATAATTTGGCTGTTACGCCTATTGCTTACAACAATGTTTGGATGTGAAAGATTCTGAAGAAGCTTCACTTCTTCCTCAAGCTCTTTGATGTTAGCCTAGTTATCCACAATCAGAAAACCATGCAAAGTCAATCACATTAAGGAAATTCCTTATAAAATCAACAAGGAATAGGAAGAAAGATACCCATCATAATATATATAAATGTTTCAAAACAATAAGGCAAAACAACATTTCCATAAGAGATAAGCTGAACAATTGGAAGTTCCTCACCATGAATTGCATATGTCATGGTAGTTTTAACAAAAGACTAACAAGGAAAAAAAGCTTGTTAAAACTCAAACCTGTGCTTTTTCCGTTGAAGCACTGTTAGCTGCACTCAGGACCTGAACAAAATACCAAAAAGGAGCACAACTCAAGCATTTTACAATAACAAGCAATGATAAATTTGATATCATAGTCTACGCAAAAATCATCCAAAAGCCTTCTCAAAGTCAATAATCTACTACCTATAGTAACACCTATAACCCCAGAATCAACCAAATTGAACCAAAGAGAAGAATCCGAAAAAACCCCAACAAACGATGGAAATAACATAAGTTCATTTAACTTCCCACAATTAAGTGAAACCTCATTTGAAGAACCATAATGAGGACCTATAATCAGAAAACATACACCATATCAACCAAAAAGATAAAGACGCAAAACAAAATGAAACCTGTTTCACCGCCAAAAGCTCTCCAGAATCAAGATTCATGCCCATGTAAACCCTCCCAAACGCACCGCAACCGATCAACTCGCCTTTGCGCCATCGGATAGGGGGCACCATAGGAGGCGACGGTGAAGAGGGCTTGGAAAAGACTCGCGATTTCCGAATGCAAGAATTGATCTTCTCCACCAAGGCCGTCGCCGTTGGCAATGGCAAGGGTGGGCTATTGTCGTTTTCCGGGTTCTCCGGAGTTGAACGGAAAACCAGTGATCGGCGAACTGATCCGAAGAGGTCTTGCATTGAGATTCCGCCACCGCAGGAGAGAGAGAGAAAGAGAGAGACCGCGATTGGGGGGGTTACTGGGGTTTCATTTGGTCGGCAAAAGAGTGAGAAATTCGGGAGGTGAGAGAGCGGAGGGAAAAGGTAGTGTGGGACTGTGGGTTTTCTTTTCAAAACTAAAGAGTAAAATAAAATAAAAAATGATAAATTGTAAGTTGCTTCACAATAAATTATAAAATAAAAATAATTAAATATAAAAAAAAACTTTTAATATCAAAAGTTTTATAGGTATTTAATAATTAATGTAGTGTAATTTAATATAATTTAAAATATAATACTAATTTATATATTAAAAAAATAAATTATAATAGCACCAAGCTTTTCCGGGCAAATGCCAAAAGTTACCTCACGGTGCACTCCCTCCTCTCTCACGGTGCACTCCCTCCTCTCCCTGAATTGGGTTCGACCTAATCCCTTATCAACTTGTTCAAAAAATAAATAAATAAATAAATAAATTATAATATGTTTCACCCTAAATAATACTTAATCATTAATAAAAAGAGTGTGCTACTTTATAATTGGTGCTTGTCTTCCATCAATGATTACCTATTTGTCAAGGTTTTTAAAACCGAACTGGTTATTGAACCATTTTTAGGTTCGATTTTTGGTTTGATTAGTTCAACCGGTTGAATCGATAAACCGATCGATCCAACCAACAAAGGAAAATCTGATGAGGGACAGGTAATTTTGTAATTTTATTAAAATTAAGAGTTAAAATCGGTATAAGAAAGAAATGGTGAGGGTGAAATTGAAAAAAATAGAAAGAAGATTGCATGAAAAATTGAACCGGTGGTTTTTTTGGTTCTATCGGTTTTACTGATTCTACTGATTTTGATCAATTTTGACCAGTTTTAACCATTTTGACCGATTTTAACTTCAAACGGTTTTTTATGTAAACCAAATCGTTTTCATTGCCAAGTATTATCAAACCGATTCAACCGGCCAATCCAGTTCGATTTTAAAAACCTTGCTATTTGTGTAGATTACAATTCAACATTTTAAACTTATATTGAGTTTTTATAAATATATATATATAAGTGAAATACAATTTATTTTGTGTAAATT